ACACTAGCAAAAGACAAATGGAAACCATGCAGGACGGACCCCGCCGTCCGACTGGCTACAATTAGAAAGCGAGGTGACAAGCGCTAAGGCCGTGGGAACCGAGACCCTCACCCGGCCAGGGCCGGGCGAGTGGAAACAGCGTAGCCTCGGGGCAGCGACTGTTCCAACAGCCGACACTCGCTGACCAGCAGCCGCACTCGGAGACGCCCCGCTGGGCGCAGGGCACATGGGTGCTGGGCTCCCCGCTACTCGGGGAGAAGAGGGGGCGTGACGCTGTGGACACAGCCCGCAGCGCGTCCAATGAGCCACCCAGCAGGCGGGCGTCCGTGTGGACGGACCTCAGCAGCGGGCCTGGGAGGGAAGACGGCGGGAGGCTCGACGCCCGCGCTATAGATACGCGCGCGAGACGCCGAGATTTACTTTTATAGAAAAACGCACGCGGCAGAAATGCAGAAACTTGGACAAGAAGTGCACACACCTTCGGGGCAGGCTCCTCCTGGGGGCGGGGATGTGGGCCGAGCCGCGTGGGCCAGGCTCTCGTCATTGAACGTTTAGGGCGAGGAGAAACTGGTCAGTCCCCGTGGGGGGCACGTGGCCTGTGAGCTCTCCCCCCATCTGGCTGGCATTTCATAGTCTCAAAAGGTAAAAAGGTGTCGACCTTTTGTAACATACATTGAAAGTCACTTTCAGATGAAACAATCGTGTCCCATAAACCCGTCCTAGTAAATCGGAAGGAAAGCGACTGGGAACCTCCTGGCCCTCGAGCCGGGACACTGCAGTCGGCCCCGGCCGGGTGCCCCTGTGGTTAGCGCGTTGGCCCTCGGACTGAAGGGTCCTGGGTTTGATTTGGCCAAGAGCACGCACCTCGGTTGCAGGCTCGATCCCGGGCCCCGGTCGGTGCACGTGCGGGAGGCAACCAACCGATGTCTTCCCCCCCCCCCAAAAAGCAACGGAGAAAACATCCTCAGGTGATGGGTAACGGAACAGTCCGTTGGTTTCAGGAACGAGAACTGTTAGAATAAGACCCCCTCATTTTGGGTAAACTGATTAACATATTCTCATAAACGTCCACCTTAAGCCCGAAGAGGCCCTGGGTACCTTGCAGCGTCACCAGCTCCCATCCCATCGGGGGGAGACCATGGAAGCACCCCCAACTCCCGGGCCCCAGCCCTCAGGCCACAGGCCCGGCTTCAGCTCCAAGCACTCCTGGCCTCCAGGCTGCGGCCGGGCAGCTGTGCCCGTGTCCGGGGGTCCCTCGGAAGGCCGTGCTCCGCACACCTCGTCCCGTGGCCCAGGCGAGGGGGTCCCAGGAAGCAGACACAGGGGGTTGTGTGCAGAGTGCCCACCGAGTGCCTTGGGTGGGAGCCGTGAAAGGAGAGGCAAGAGCAGGATTGGGGGGGGCTGTGAAAGGGGCAGCAGTGCCTCGCACAGGCCCAGGTGGGCTAGAACCCCGAGCCGGCCCAGGGGGGCCTCCACCCATCTTTTCCCCGTGGTGTGGCCTGGGGGTGGCAGTGCGCTGCTGGGCCGGGACCGCGCTTGGGGGTTTGCAGGCTCCGCTGGGGGCGTGTGCCCGGCTGTGGAAGGTGGCTGAGCCTGGCCCTTGGCTCGCCCTCCCCAGGTCACGTCCAGCCCATCTCACTGGAGCTGCAAAGCACGTTGGGGGAGAAAACAGCGCAAGGACCTAAAGTACTGGACATTTAAAATGAAGACACTGCTGTGGGACCTGCACGTACAGGTAAAGGGAGACGGCCGCTGGTGGTCTGGGTCCCAGGGGCCACCCCACGGGCTCAGGCGCTCCCCACCCGGCCGGGGTGCAGGGGGGCCAACCCCGCAGGGTCCCGGGTCCCCGAGCGAGCGAGGACGAGAGCACACGGGCACGAAGCAGAGGTGAGGGCAATGAACACTGTCTTTATTGACACAAGAGTAACAGGCTGTGGGATGAGGCACAGGCACTGGGCTCCAGGGACAGTGGTGGTGGGGTCGGCGCCGGGACACCGCCAGCCGGTGCAGATCCCCACAGAACAAACAGAACCGAGCACAAAACCTCCAACCCCACCGAGCAAGAGGCCCGCGGGGAGGTGCGGACAACGGACGGCCCGTGGAGTTACAGAAGGAGCGGGCGCAGCTCCCAGGGACCGCCCGAGCGGACGGGCGTCGGGGCGGGCTGTGGCCACAGCCCGGCGCTCACTACGCTGCCCACAGCGAGCTCCTGGGCACAGGGCCAGCCCCTCCTGGGTGTCGTTCTCGTGAACCGGAGAGCAGAGCCTCCACCGTGGGGCACACACCCCCAAAACAAACAGAAACAGTCGCTCTTTTCTTTCCATAGGAGACTTTTAATCACGTGAGACAAAGTGAGTCGAGCCAGGAGCGAGCTCGGCGTCAGCACACGGAAGAAGTGGTTTCCTTTCGGTGCAAAGGAGAACCTGTAACCACAGTGCCCGCAGTTCACGCGGCGCAGTCTCAAGCGAAACCCCAGCCGCACGCCATCTAAAAGGAGTCGTCCACGCGGCCACGGTTCTCGTCGGAATAAAGGGTCACCGGGCCCAGGGCGCAGCGCGCCTCCCGCCCGGCCCAGGAAGATAAAGGAAACAGAGAAAACGAAACGAAACAAAATTCCTCCAGATCCAACGGGAGGCGGCTCCCGTGAACTCTGCTTCCACATAAATACAGTAAATCTGTTACTGGGATGTCACAAGGGTTAGATAAACTTCTTTTCTTAATATGACAAACGTTTAAGTCCTTTTATTTTTCTTACAATAAAAAGTACAATTTCTTAAGAAGTTCAATTAGACGCAAACGTTCCTCCCCCCTTCAAGGGTTTGCTTTGTTACAGAAAAACCTCCACCTTTCGAGGCAGCAAACGTCACGGGGGGACACGGGCATTTTCTCTTCCCCAAACTGCCGAGGTCGGGTGCAAATCCGTGTACGACAAAGACATGCGGCCGTGGTCATGCAACCTCCGGGTGTAGGAAACTTAAAAAAATAGAGTCATATATATTTATATATATATTTATATATGTATCAATGCCCAGAAAACACATGGGCCCAAAAGTCTACAAAAAGGCGGCTGGAATGAGCACGTGGCCGTGGCCGGGGGGAGGAATGTTCTGATGGAAACTGAAAACCACCAACCCAGGCTCCCGTGTCCGACCGACCCAGACGGCCCTCTCTCTGGAAACAGACTTTTAAAAGAAAGAAAGAAAGAAAAATTGAAACACGTTGAGAAAGTGGCCCTTGGGAAGCCGGGCCGTCCCAGGCGGCCGCCTGCTGGTGGGGCTTGGACACGTTGAGGCGGGAAAACCGAAAGGGCCGGGTGGACACCGCGAGCCCCGCGGGGGCACCACAGGGTTTCCCGTGAAAGGCTATAAAGTGCTCACCTGCTGACCCCAGCCTGGCCCCAGGGCCTTTGTAAAGGAAAAAAAAGCTAAAGTCCAAGGACCACAGAGGGAGGGGCCCTCCCTGAGGCGGGGTCCTGCCCGCAGGCGCAGGCCCTGCCTCTGCCCTGGAGAGGGGCCGGTGTCTTCACAGGAAAAGGCTCCACGCGACGCTCCCGCACTTGGGAAGCTGGAGTGAGCAGGCTCCCGCTGGGCCTGTCTAGGGGGTGGCTCCGCGGGAATGGAAGTAAATCCCCTGGGAGCACGTGGCACCAAGAGGCCCATGCTGCCCTGTCACCTGTAAAAACGTCAGACAACAGACAACGTGCTCCTTCCCAAGAGCCACAGCTGGCAGGAGCAGCAGGCGCGGAGCGTCCCCGGGGATCTTGGAAGGGGGCCGAGAAGGCCCGAGAGCCGCCAGCAGGGCCTTGCCACCGCTCTGCGCCACGCTGGGGACGGTGGCACTTCCCACACGAGCTCCTCCCGCCAAGGGGGCCTCAGCACAGCGGCCAGCAGGGAAGAGTTAAACGTACCCAAGACCTTCCTGGCCCACCCTAAACCCCTGCCTCAGCCCTGACCAACCCGATCCAAAATCTCGGATTCCTTTGGTCAACGCCCAACCGTATCAGCGGCTCTCGGAAGCTACCCTGTATACGTCTCCAAACTCAGAGACTTGGCCGGGCCTCTCCTGCGGGCGGCTGTCTGAACTCCGCACACACTTTGGAATGAAATCGGTGGCTTCAAGTGCTCAAAAATAAGTTACCAGTAAAAAGTGACGTTCAGTTTCTGTCAGAGAAAACAGCAAAGGCCCGCTGTCCCGCTCGGGAGTCTGGTGGCCCCGCAGGCTTGCCAGGCAGAAAGGGCCAGGCCACGTGGCTGCAGCGGAAAGCCCGGTGGAGCCGGGCCGTGCATTGCTGACATGCTGAAAAGGTCTTTGGAAAACTGAAGCTAAAATTCTAGTCTGACGATTGGTCAGAAGTTTAAACAGGAGCCACCCAGCCCAGTGTCGCAAGCGGCCTCTCCACACCGGCCACGGAGGCAGACAGCACCCTGCGGAACTCCGGGTGCGGCAGGGCCCCTGCGCCACGAGACAGCCCAGGTCGCTGCTCGCGTGACGCTCTTTCTGAAAATAAACGCTGATGGCAGCAGTCTGTGCGCCACAAAAAACTGTCGCTGTACAAACAAACAAGAGAGAAAACAATAAAAAACTCTTTGAAAGTTAAAAAATGTACAAGAATTTAGAAAGGAAAAGTTTGGACATTATGACCATTCAGAAAACTGCTAAATGGTGAGAAAAAAACATGAAGTTCATAAAACAATGCTTATTCAGGACATTTCTGTGAAAAATTCATATAAAAATCAACAGCAAATTTATATTCTTTGCTATAAAAACTCATCAGGTACATATGTATGTGGAGCGGAAGGGGCCGTTAGAAAATAATTAAAACAAAATGCAAACCTGTGGCAGTTGCCAGTGGCGAGTATGTTGGCGATCCGAAATCGACCCCATCTGGACTCCAAACTGCACGAGTTCAAACTACACCCCTTCCCAAAGCACCTGGTGGCTAGTTCGCAAGTCGGTCATTCCCAGGGACCTTGACAACCTGCATTTATTTTATATATATATATATATATATATATATATTTCTTCTATAAATGCATTATAAATATTTTATCAAGATTTCGTAAGAATCAAGTTTCTTAGCTCGGGATACATTGGAATATATATTATACATATATATATTTATTTATACCTAAAATTTAAGCAATACTTCATGCTACTTGCTTTTAATGAAAAGCATTCCAACCGTAACACTGAGGTGGCCGAGGTCATGCTTCAACCGATGGAGATGCTCAAAGGTGTGTGACGTACGAGAAAAGAACACTTTGGATTCATTTAAAATTTGTTGGACTTCAAAACCCCAACAGTATCTGCCACTTTCTGGGAACTACGTCCACGCTCCTTACACAGCAATAAAGCCAACGCGGGCGGCAGGTCCGGAGCCGCGGTGGCACGGGCCCCAGCCCCGCGGGCACTGCCGGCCCACCAGCCCAGGACACTGTCCTGTCCCTTCCTGCTGTTTGTTTTTTCTTAAGGCAATGTTCCTCAGACTTCAGAAAACCCAGCCACAAAAACCCTCCAGTGCAGTAAAAAAAAGGCACAAACTCGCATCTTCCGATGGCTTCGAGGCAGCAACGCCGGCTCCTGCAGGCTCACGCCCGCTTCTGTCCACTCTGTCCCTCACCCGGCTGCAACCCCACGGACTCCCCTCGGTCAGAGGCAGGCCAGAGCCGTGGAAAACGTCCTCTTAAAAGCAAGCTGCGAGGTGAGTGGTTTGCGTGGAGACGAGCTGTGGGTAACCCACCCTCAGACTTTGAGCACCGGTCTGATCGCGTGTCTGTTGTTAGTCTTTGATTTTCATTTTCTTTCCCTCGCATCAACGAGGTCAGGCGGCTCTGCCGCGAGCTGCGCGGGCTTCCTCCCCTGGCGGCGCCCCTCTCGGGGCCGTGGGCGGCCCGGTGCCCTGCGTGTCGGCATCTGCTCATCCCGGCGTCTGTCTCGGGTCAGGTAAGGCTGCCCTGCCCGGTGAGACCCGGGGTCTGGGCCCCCGGTGCCTGCGGACTCTGCGAGAACGCCTGGCAGGATGCAGAGAAACAGCAACTTTTCTTGGCAGAGCTTCAAGACAGACAGACAAACACGAGTCGCAGCCACGGGCGAGGCTACAGGGGTGGCTCCTCTTCCATGGGCTCCTCCTCGGGCCTGGGCAGCGCCCCGGGGGAGGGCAGACAGGCACACAGCAGAAGAAAGGACGCACAGAGGATTAGCCACAGCACCTCGGGGCCTCTCTGCCGTCACCCGCCCTCTTCCTCCCACCCT